GGAGAGGTTCTAGAAAATTCTAGAGAAGTATAGAATTTTCTAGAACGTTGCGGAGAATCCTAGAGAAGTCTAGAACTCTCTAGAAGCTTGCGGAATAATGTGGAATCCTCTGGAATATTCTAGAGATGTGTGGAACCTTCCGGAAGCTTATGGAAGAGTATGGAAGCATATGGAAGAGAATGGAGAGGTGTAGAGATTCCTTGGAATTCTCTAGAATAGGTAGTCATGTAGATCATTCTAGAGAAATATTCTCCACCACTCATTATGGAGGTGGAGTAGTATAAATAGGAGTAGGAGCCTCCATTCCTAACCATCCCAATCCTAATCCTAGCAATCCTAGCAAGAGAGAATCCACTTCCTAGAGTGAGAAAGCTAGAGAGTTAGAGAGCCTCTTTGAGAGAGAAGAGAGTTAGCTTAGGAAGGTCATATCCTCAAGCTTGAGTGAGCCACCATTGAGTGAGACAATTTTGTAACATTCTTGTAAATCCTACTATTCTTTTGTATACTGAAAGAATCTCCATATTGGAGAATTTAAATCGTGTGCTCCCATTACTACCTTAATTCCTAAGTGCCTATCTTAACTTCACGAAGCGGGAAATTCCGGAGTCTTTTCCCAACAAGTTGTCTAATCATTGAGTTCATTATTTCATTTCTTAGAATGAATAGCTTTTCCATAATATAGTAAATGTATGAGCACTCAACTAACATATATTGAATGATGAAATTAAATAACAAAGATTATGAAGGTTTCTTAGGAAACTCACTTACAGAATTACTTTTCCAATCAAATAATTTACATACACACCAACACTCAGATTATTCTTAAGTAATTTTTTTATGTTTGTCATCTTGCTAATCATGAGACTTTTATCATTGATGATTATTAACAATCTGAAAAGGGAAAAAGGAAGGTGAAGAGAGTTTAATGAATCAAAAAGTGTATATTTGCCTAATGTGGCAAAGGAGTGGTGCAGGAAGATGGGTAATGAGGAATAAACCTCCTTTTGGTCTAATAATCTAGGCTCCATTTCATTTTTACTTAATTGTGTGTTTAAGTTTAGTTTTTTAATCATTGAGGATTTGAGGTTCATTGTTTATTAAAATGAATAGCTTTTCCATAATACATCAATGTATGATCCCTCGACTATTATATATTGAATGAAATTAAATAACAAAAATTATGAAGGTTTCTTAGGATACTCAATTAAATAATTACTTTTCCAATTAAAAAACTTACTTATACACTAGCACTCAGAGTATGATTAAGTAATATTTATGTGTGTCATCTTGATAATCATGAGTCTTTTATCATTGATGATTATTAATAGTCAAAAAAAGGATAAAGGAATGTGAAGAGATTAAAATGAATAAAAAAGTGACGCTTCTAAAGGATGCCCACACAAATTAGGGCTAAGGAAGAAGATGAGATTTTGATGGTCGATTAGCTCTAAATGATATTGTGGCTCTTCCATTCCATCTTTTAATATCTCTTACTCAGATACAACAAACTTCAACTTAAGGTATCACATCAATTCCACGGATTTAAAGTATGTTGGGTTTTCTTTTCTGAACAGAGTTTCTTATCAACAAAGATGACCTGGCTGCTTTTCACATGTATACCCTGATCTGATGATCCTGACAGTTGTGCCGTATGAATCCAAAATGTGGTAGTTCTATTAAAATGCCAGAATTATTTTTTTCTTATTCCTGTTTCAAATCTGCTTCTTTATGTCTATCGATCTTCATCCAATTTGTCACAACTGGAAAATCTTCCACCGGGATCTTATGAAACATAATATTGATATCTTGGGGAATATTTGTTACTCTTGCAATCTCATGAAACATAATAATTATGCATGATATAATAATTTTATGAATTGATTTGCTTTTGTAGCCAGATAATTTGCTACTAGATACCACTTGGAGACTCAAAATTTCTGATTTTGGATTGTGAGCCCTTTCCTAGAAAATCCAGGTAATCACATAGTTAAAATATTGTTCTCATAATATTCAAAACTATTGCAGTTAACAAAATGTGTGAAGGAATTCTGAGATATATGTAAGATGTGATTAAGTGGTTATTTGGTAGCTACACCTTATGTTGAGGTTTACTCCTTCAACCTAAAGGTCCAACACGTTTCCCTTGGATTTCAAGTGGGGAGTTTAATGGATTTACGATGCAAGCTAAGCAAGTAGGGTGGATCAATAAGAGATAGTAAGTGGGTCGTATCTTATTAAATGATAATAAGGGCCCGTATCTTATCTCAATGCTAAAAGCTAAGATAATTGCTATTTACTAGAGAGAATAAGTTGTCAATCATTTACAATGAAATAAATACTACTCCCTCCGTCTCGGAAAATTAGTCCCACTTTGACTTGGATCGGAGTTTAAGAAAGTGGGAAAGGGGTAATGGGTCGACCCACGGTCAGGCCCATTAACCCAACATCTTACTTATCATCCTGAATTAAAAATGAATGATTTATAGGTGCCATAGAGAACATGATATACTATAGTCTATTTCTAATTTGTCTTCGGTTGAAGCCACACAAAATTTGAAAAACATATTAATTGACTAGGTTCAATATTTCTTATTATATCTCCTAACCTGCAGACTTTGGCAGAGGTGACTTTGTGAACATAGAGAAGCATGTTCGAGGTGTTTATCAACAAACTAAAACAAATGAAGGATAAGAAGATCCAATCTAAATAAAAATGTACAATCATGGATAATATATGAGCCCGATTTTACAAGTATTTTAGAGGTTTCAACCATGGATAATGTTAAACGATATTAGAGATCTCTTATAACTCAATCACTCTTATATATACCATGTTTTTATATTAGTAACTACCACATTATAAAATGTTATCTCTATTTCATACATAGTATTTGCTTTCAACAAATGCCGTGAACAATGGTATATGTTCAATAATATGTCAGTATCATTTTTGTAATTTATCCACTTAAGAAATAAAGGATCTTTTATGTTACACGGTGTTTCCATTGATGATCAAGAGTCTGTATTTTCACTCCAAGATACTCACCAAATTCATATAGAGCTTTTATATTACAAGATTAGTTATACTAACATTATTTTTATATAATTTATACTACGTACTGCATATAATTGATTTTCATGTACTATTTGAGTATACGTGAATATATATTTATTTATGTATTGATTTTCAAGATACTCACCAAATATATATGCTTGATGTCTTGACACATACAGTGTGATTTGTTCTTTGAAATTAGCGTCATTCACTTTCAATGATTTTTCTAAATCGGTTTGTGACTTTTTCATTCCCAACTTACCTTGACGCATTCTAATTTGCATTGAGACTGTCATTCACCTTTCAGTGCAATAGTTTCCTCTATGTTTAACTATGGGATGACTTTTTTTACTGTAATGTTACATCTAATCTTAAGTAAAATTGAGAATTTTTTTGAATACAAAATTGTGAACTTTGTAATTCAAACCAAAAAATTGTCATTTATTTATTTAAAGAATAATTAACTTACTATTCCCTCCGTCTCGAAAAGGTTGGCCACATTTTCTTTTTTGGACTTCCCAAAAAGATTTGTTATTTCCATTTAAAGTAAGGAATATGTGGCTAAAATTAATTCTCTCTCTTCTGCACAAATTTCAACCACACGGTTTTTACTTTATTAATCCACATGAAAATTATCTTTGGCCAACCTTTTCGAGACGGATGGAGTATTAAATAAAGTAAAATAACTACTCACCACGTGCAATGCATGGGTGAAAAAACTTGTCATAATAATTGATCGATTATATGTCTCTTAGAAAGAAGAGAGAGCTAGAGAGAGAAGTGATTGTATTAATGAATTTCCGAACCCTTTACATGGCTTCCAAGGGGAGTATTTATATGAAAAAGTGGGCTGGGCTCCCAAGCCCTGGGCTTGGAAGGTCCATTACAATATAATGTCTCTATTGGGCTGATTACATGAGAAATATAGTTCTGTGAGTTACTTCTGGCCGAGGGAGGTACGACCAAGGGATCGGAGGCATGACCGAGGGAGGACAAGTCTTCTCCTTGACTTCTGGATTGACTCTTCTTTGGCCGATGGAGTGCCATCTGACCGACGGAGGGTCCACTGGGTGACAGTTGTGCTCCTCTTTGTCTTCTAAGTATGTGGATCATGGGGTCTGGACCCATATACTCCATCAATAATAATAAAACAATACTTCATACTCCCTCCGTTCCTAAATAAACTTCCAACTTTCCTTTTTCGTCCGTTCCAATTAAAACTTCCACTTTCCCTTTTTAGTAAAGAATTTGTGGTTCACAACATTTCTTACACATTTCTCTCTCCTCTGCACAACTCTCCACCACACAATACCCACTATCTTAAACTCTGTGCCAAACCTATTTGGAAGTTTTAATAGGAACGGAGGTAGTACTATTTATAGTTCACACTTTGATATTCAACAACTACAAAACTGATGCAAAATATAAAGTTGTTTTAAAATGTAATTGTAATTAATGGTATGAAAATGCAATATAAAAACATAACAAATATTGCGTACATGTGTACAACCTTAGCAATGAGAAATTTATTTATTTATTTGGGCAAAGCAATGAGAAATTTATTAAAAATTAAAATATTATACTATGTAAATAATTTACCAGGAAAAAAATAAAAATATTTAATAATATATACAAACACTATAAGAGTATAAAACATCCATGTTGAGACTTGAGATGACGTTTACTAAGTACTAATGCTCTATAGATGTTTAGAGTTTGGCTCGCAGTAGAATTGGACGGAAATTAAAGAGCATTGGGCCGAGATTGTAATAACTGGGCCAATAAACAACTTCGCTTTATCTTTTTTATACTCCGTATTTTCTAATCAGGTTAGTCTATTTCGCACTGGGCCAGGGCCCATGAAGGCCCCCTACCTCCGCCGGTGAATCTTGAAGAACTTTTATACGGAGGACTACCTTGTTTCCGAAGAAATCGAAGCATATGCGGGATGGAAAGGCTGCAGCGAATGTTTGCTGGCGCCGGCGGTGCTTTAGGTCACCCGCCGCCGGATTCTCCTACTCTCGATTCGTCGGAGCAAGTCTACATATCATCCCTCGCTCTTCTTAAGATGCTCAAACACGGTAACTTGGAGCTCCTCAATATATCTCGACATTTAGTGTATATATTCGAATTGTGTGGTGTACTCTTTTGGCTTTCAAAAAAAGTTAAGGTTTTTGGTTGACATTGAACAGGGAGAGCCGGCGTTCCCATGGAAGTGATGGGATTAATGCTGGGGGAATTTGTTGATGAGTACACGGTCCGGGTAGTCGATGTGTTTGCTATGCCACAGAGTGGGACTGGAGTGAGTGTCGAAGCAGTCGATCACGTGTTCCAGACCAATATGCTTGATATGCTCAAGCAAACTGGCAGGTTTGTCCTGTCTTTTCCATCGATTTTTGAAAAACTGTATCTATCTTGATTAAAGTTTACAACTCTCTTTCAATTTTAAGATGTCCATCGGATGAAATAGAATTTGATCCAAAATGGACTAATAGTTTCGTTTTTAGCCGTTTGTACAACCCAATTCCTACTTGATTTCAAATAGTAGCATTGAAAATAGCCCTGGAGATTTTCATTGAGTAGGTAGAGTAGCAGCATTGTTTATATCGTTTCTTTTTTCAAGATTTAAGGATGGTCAAGTATAGCCCACCAGTCCATCATGTACAAAGAAAATAAATGTGATGTTGATTTAGTATTATTATTGAAAACTACTTATACTTCTTGCTTTTGTTACTCTCATTTATAAGGCCCATCGTTTGTTTTAGGCTTTTAGCATAGGCGCTATAAATTTCCAGGGACGGTTTTCACAACTTTCATAATGGAAAATGTGTTCTTCCATATTAGAATTTGGTCTACGCTTGAAGTGTTTTCCTCCTCTTTTTCCTGTCGTTTGGGCTTTCTCAGTTGATTATGGATAGAGAGCCAATGTATGTAGTTGTTGACTTGTTGCTATAATTATGTATGTAAATAGGGGGGTATTTCGGAATGCGGAGTCATTTAATGGGAATTCACATTTTAGGAGGTCATTGATGACTCAATGTTAATTAGAGATAGCAGTAATTCATTGGCTCCCTTGTATAATGGAAATTAGTGTTTGCAGTGGCAGAGCTAGAAAAACGGCTCAGGGGGGTCGAAACTCAACTTGTATACAAAAAAAAAATGGTGGATCGTTTTTAAACAATGTCCGACTTGAATATTTCCTACGCAGTTTAGATAAATAGGCACTCATAGTAATAAGATAGATTATCTTTACTCTATTTCTAAGTCATATCACGTACGTATTGAGTGAATTATACCATGTTTCTAAAATTTGGGATGCAGATAACCATATTTTTCATGCATAGTACTCTGTGAGGGAACTGTTTTTTTAGACCTGGGAGGCTGGGAGTGGTTCCCTTGTCTCTTATTGGCTGTTGAATTTCTTGCTTGGTATTCTTTTGCTACATATTTGGTTTGAATCGTTGTTACGGTCTTACAGGCCAGAGATGGTTGTCGGTTGGTATCATTCACATCCTGGTTTTGGTTGTTGGCTTTCGGGCGTGGACATTAATACTCAGCAGGTACCTGCATTTATATATATTTTCTCTGGTCAGGGATACAGAATAGAGATGGTTTTGTAAATTAAAGAGACATATATGATGAAATTAAATACAATGGACAAAGTGTTCCTTTCAAGTAATAATAATAATAATACATAGCGACCATAGTGGTATTTTCATATTGAATGAAGTGACCGTGGTGATCTGCAGACTGCAGTGACTATATCACAATGATAGTGAAAATATAGTCATATTCTTGTCTATGAGCTGTATTTGTACTATCATAGCAAAACATATTGCTTTGTTATAGAATACATAATTAAGTGAATTATTCCAAATGTCAGGATATTTATTTAGTTTGTCCAGTTTTTTTCGATTTAGAATCTGTCATTGAATATATGTGGTAGGCTTTTTTACTTTTTCTATAATAATGTTACGATGATTAGAGTTTTGAAGCACTGAATCAAAGAGCAGTTGCTGTGGTGGTGGATCCCATACAGAGTGTGAAAGGGAAGGTGGTGATTGATGCTTTCCGTTTAATAAATCCCCAAACAATGATGCTTGGCCAAGAGCCACGTCAAACGACATCTAACTTAGGACATCTAAACAAACCCTCTATCCAAGTGAGTGCTATTTATATACATACATAGATACAATAATACATATTGTCACTTTGAAGGCTTTTCTGGAATAAAACATGATGATTTGTATGTTAATAATATGATGATTGGTGATGTGTCATGCAGGCCTTGATCCATGGTCTTAACCGGCACTACTACTCCATAGCAATCAACTACAGAAAGAATGAACTTGAAGAGAAAATGCTTCTGAATCTTCACAAGAAGAAATGGACAGATGGGTTGACCCTCCAGCGATTTGATGCCCACTCCAAAACCAATGAGGAAACAGTCCAGGTAACATTTAGTTTGCTTAAAGAAGTATAAGATAAACTTTTTTAGGGAAATCTTTGGAGCCCAAAGAATGCCACAGAGGAGAAATAAAATGACCAAGGGGAACTATTTTCTTGTATTCTGTTTTACTTGGGAATATGCAAAGCAAAATGAAATGCTACGTATGATTTTTAATTTTTGTAAATTAAATATTCCTAGAAATCTTGTTCTTTGTTTAACGCGAATAAATAAAGAAAACAAAAGAACAAATATAAAAAAATAAACATATTGAGTTTTAAAGAATATTCTATTTTTCCTGATGTTTTCATTCCTTGCAAATTTCCCCTATATCTTCATCCCTATTTGTTTTCCCTACCATTTCTGGGTTCCAAACAGACACTTGATGTTTTTCATCACATTTTTTCCGATCATGAACAAGGGTGCTCATGTTTTACCTGAAAATGCTATAAATTCCTGCAAAAGAGCGTGGCGGCACTTTTTTAAAACCAGTAGCACTTCCTATTGTTGTGCCACCAACCTTCTAACAGGAACATGAGTATTGAGATAACCTTCAAAACCCTTATAGAACAAAGCTGTAAACCTGACATGTGTCCCTTACTTTTGATGATCATCACCCCCCTACTCTTGTGTGCAGGAAATGCTAAACCTAGCAATCAAATATAATAAAGCAGTGCAGGAAGAGGATGAGTTACCACCTGAGAAGTTGGCCATTGCAAATGTAGGAAGGCAAGACGCCAAGAAGCATCTAGAAGAGCACGTCTCGAACTTGATGTCTTCAAATATTGTTCAGACGCTGGGAACCATGCTCGACACTGTTGTCTTTTGAAGTTCTAAGCTATAAAACTCTGCACTGTTGTCTTTTGAGATTGTGAAAACCAAAAGTTCGCCTTCTCATGTTATCGTGACTTTCAAGTAATCCAAGAGAGAATTTGTACTAGTATTGTTACTATTGTGTATGATCCTTGAATGCGTTTCTCCTATTGTGTTCAACACTCAATATTGGAGTACGTTTAGAGCGCTTTTGCCCTCGATATGTTTGATGAATCATTTGAGAGGAAATATGTGTGCTAACTTCCATGTCAGTCCAACGGGTAAAGAATTATTCTACCTAGGGATGGACTGGGATGGGATGGCCTGACCCGGTTGACCGGGACCAGTGCTGGGGCCCGACCTGAGTGAAGAAGTAGCGGGCTACGGGATCAAGATTTAGTGGACCGGCCCGGTTTGGGCCCAACGGACAGTTTTTATAAAAAATTGGGTTTGAATTAATTAACAAAAAATGAAAAAAAATTAGCCCGACCTGACCCGGGCCCAGACCAAAGCCTGACCGAGTAGCTCGGGCTGGTACTGGGCCTGATATTTTTGGACTCGGAGCCCGGCCCGGACCCGACCCAGGCCACCCCTAGTGGCTAGTATTCTACCCCGTAGTATTTGTTTTTCTTTATGGATTATTTTAATTATTGGAATGAATAACTTTTTGGCTACAAAATGTATCCTTTTATAATTTTATTACTAATCACCAACTGCAATGTTATTGGCCGAGTGTGAGTTATTCTAATTTTTGAAACAAAAATTTAAAACTATTGAATTTTCAAAGTTTATTCCTTCCGGTTATTTCCAACATTTTCTTACACATTACAATTTAAAGTGCTCCCAAAATGGATATGATATTTGAAACTATCATTGTTTACCACTGGTGTATTACTAATTATTAATTTATATTAGCAGAGAACATGTAAACTTTTGTTCAAGTTAATTTGGTAAGCAAAATAAGCACATAACGAATTCCCTCAGAACTCTGAAGTGAGGATTGGCAATTAAATATACGAAACAATATTATCAGAAAAGAGTAAAAATTAGAGGCTATTCGTCCTACTTTGTTATGGATTTCATGCAATATATTTTAACAGTAAAAATGGATTTATTCACTTTTAGATGGAAATATCCACCTCACTCAGCCTTCTGCTTATTTGTGTGGTTATGAAATTCTCTTTTTTAATCCAAATCTAAACAAGGAAAAAATCAAAATAATTTTTTTGTTTACTTATACTATGTATTTTTTATACCACTATCGATATGAACACCAATAAATTAGTAGTCCCATTATAGAATATATTTCATATTTAGTAAAAAAACATATAATTTGCCAATTTCTCTGTTATTGAACATTGTAACGCACATGAATTTGTTAAGGGGATTATGAAATTAGTATGAAAAACATTCTCGTGAGTCAATATTATGAAAAATCAATATCATCATCATATTTACTATTATTATGATGATGATGTGAATATGTGATGATGTTATAAACAAGCATTGTATTTTGTAAACAACAACAGGAATGATGATAATAATTTTTATATTAGTATTAAAGTTTTTATATTAGTAATAATACTAATAAAAATAATGTTATAAACAAGCATTATGTTTTGTAAAAATAACAACTATAATAATAACGATAGTGATAATTGTTTTTATATTATTATTACAGTTTTATCTTAATAATAATATAATAATTATATTTTTAACAATAATAATAATGCACGATAAAAAAACAATAATAATAATGTTTTAAAGGGAAATAATAATGTTATAAACAAGCATTGTATTTTGTATGGGAGCTCCCCCAATACACCCTCCTAAGCTTGAACAAAGAAGTAAATCAAGAAAGGAGATATGCAGAAAATGATGCTCGCCAGATCGTTGCTCCGATGCTTTTACCGAAGATCTCCAATTTCGTCCCCTTACGCTGCCGCTGTCGCCGACGCAGTCAACCACCACACCTTCCGTCACCTTCATTTTAATCCCCCTTCTTTTCCGAAACCTGTTCTTCCCGGTACTCCCCCCTCTATAATCTCTGTATATTTGCTTCTCTACATAAGCTCATACATGTGTGAAATTAGATTGGTGTTCGATTTTATCCGTTACACATATAAGTGATGTAGTTTATGTATTTGCGAATCTGCAGACCTAGGACTCTAGGATGTTAAAAAGTTACTGTTATTTTAAATGAACCCTTGCGAATAATTCAGTTGCGAATCTGTAGACCAAGGACTTTAGGATTTTAAAAAGTTACTGTTGATTTAGATGAGCCGTTGCTAATAGTTCAGGATAGGGAAGCATCTGAATCAAAGATGGAATTTTATTTTCTGTAGGCATTTGTAATGACTTCTCCTCATCTTGTCTCTGCTCTCATGCCCTTTCTTTGTCCATCTGACCATCTTCTGTCTTTGCAATTAGGTTAATAATGGATTTGGATTTCAACACTCTGTTCGTTATGTTCTTTTCATTCAGATTTTTTTTATATGTATTCAAAATCATTATTTTTTTGGGGTGAGGTGTGCTGGTCCATAATTTCCCCTCTGTATTAGTGTCGACTAATTTCGAGTATATACCGGGTGTCACTGCGTTAGTGTTTTACAACATAAAATACAATAAATATGTTCTTTGCAATGGTTCAGAATTCAAAAGAGCATGCTTCATACTAAAACTTCTTACTTTCTGGCTGATCTATGCTTTATTGGGGTGGTAAAGTAAATGGAGGAGAAAGTTTACATGTATTTATGATATTAGGAAAATGATAGGAAAGGGAGATAGAGGAGTGAGAAGTAGAAATGGTGCAGTTAGATGAGAGTGAGATGCGAGTTCCTGCTTATATCCTACTGTCTATTGAGAAACAGAATGTTAACTGTCCTATATTGTCTATTGAGAAATAGATTGTTAACTTTTTCCTCATTCTTCGCCCTCTTCTGTAGAAGAATATATTATATACTAGTATATGAGAGAGAGAGAGAGAGAGATAGAAAGATGGTTACTTTTCATATTCCCTACCCATAAATTTGCAATATATTTCTTATTAATGCGACAAAAAGAATGTTTAGATTGCATTTTCATTAACATCTAAGGAGGGCAGCCCAGTGCACAAAGGTCTCTGCAAGGTGAGGGTCGGGGAAAGGATCCCGCCACAAGGGTGTATAAGGGGCAAGCCTTCCCTTGTCAATTTTTTTACAAGAGACCGCTCCCAGGACTTGAACCTGTGACCTCTCAGTCACACAGGAACACCTTAACCGTTGTGCCAAGGCTCCCTTTCTGCATTAACATCTAAGATGGATTTTTTTTGCACTGCCTTATTTTCCTCCTACTTTCCACTCAACCAAACATAGATTTTTGGAGCACATCTGAGTTACTAGTGGGTGGTTGCCCCAGTACCCCCCACCCCACCCCCACCCCATCAGCGGCAGACGCAGGAATACATATATATTAAATTTTCGGGGTAAATAGGAGCACATCTGAGTTACTAGTGGGTGGTTGCCCCAGTACCCCCCACCCCACCCCCACCCCATCAGCGGTGGACGCAGGAATACATATATATTAAATTTTCGGGGTAAATATAACTAGGACAATAAAATTGGAGGGGCAGTGTCCCCCATTAGCCACTGCGTGTGTCCGCCACTGCACCCCATCCCCTCATAAGGCTTTGAATTTTATTTTTTGACACTTGCGTGGTTCACTTGTTGTAGAATGCCTTCATCCATCTGCATTGACACCCGGAAGTGTACGTTATTTCAGCGAGGATCTGAGCCATATGCCCAGTATACATGATGAAGAAATCAAGTGTGCTTTTAAAGATTTAATGGCCGCAAGCTGGGATGAGATCCCAGAAGCTGTTATCGACGAAACAAAGAAGGCATTATCCAAAAGTACTGATGACAAGGTTGGCCAGGAGGCATTGGCTAACGTTTTCCGTGCAGCAGAGGCCATTGAGGAGTTCATCGGCATCGTAATAAACTTGAAAATGGCAATTGATGATGCTATTGGGTTAAGTGGTGAGGTAACAACTGTCCCCAAAAGAAAAATATCTTGCTTCCAGATTTTTTTGTCCCAAAAAAGTCCTATTTCCATAAAAGAAGCTATCTTTCATTGAGTGGTTTACAAGAGTTGTACTTGACCACAATTAAAAAGATTATTAGAAGAGTTGTACCTAACATAATTAAAAGGTGTACCTTGATGAAACAAGACTCTTTTTTGTGTGGAGATGAAGTAGTTAGTACTCTGTATGTATAAGTATGATGTACGCATTAATTTGCAATTGCTTCCTGATCATTTCTATCCTTGACAGAATGTGAAGCCTATGCCAAAACACATGGTGACTGCACTTAATACAATCTTCCAACGTTATAATACATATCTGAATGCCTTCGGGCCGGATGAGGGATATTTAAAGAAGAAAGTTGAGACTGAACTGGGGAGTAGCCTGATATTCTTAAAGATGAGGTGCAGTGGCTTAGAGTCTGATTGGGGAAAGGTACTCTCATTTCACATTTGCAATCATGCAATGCATGCAATATTTAGTTGTATATCTTGTGTTCGGCTGTTCGCATTGAAATTCTGAATTTTGAATAGCAGAAGGTAGTTTTCAATGTTAAAAGATTAGCACAAAGGTATTTAGAGCGGGTTTTTAAAGTCATTTGAAGTAAAAATCTTAGGCATTGTTTGGAAAGCTATGTTGTAATCAGGAACATGTATAATTGAATGTTACGGTAAAAATATGCTAGATTACATTACGATTAATCAAGGCGTGTTGCTACTTGCACGTTTTCTAATGGCGATAGGAATCATCATGAATTTCAGCTGTTACAGCATTCTGTTTAAAAAGTAACTAACTAACATTGCTTTGCAGGTCACAGTTCTTGGGACATCTGGACTTGCTGGTTCTTATGTTGAGCAAAGGGCATAAAACAGCTTCTGTTGACCTAGACTTACGTGTTGTTTTAATAATGTCATTTCAGTTTTTGAGCTAACTGGTTGAATGTAATTTGCTATATTGCAATCAGCTTCTAGCAAATTGAAGATTTCAGACCTTAAAACAGCTTGGAGATAATAATGAGCGGATTATTTCACACCTGGATGAACCCTTTTGTCAAATCTTATTATATGAATAATTTTTGCCTAGATGCAGTAGTTCTGGACAGTTTGATATTGATGAAAGAAATGTTCCATTATTTTATGAGGTTGCTCTCCTTCAGTATTGTTCTATCACTTTGTACTAACTACTAAAGGTTCATCTTTTGCCTTGGGTAGTTTATTAGGAAAAGTGAAAGCATATGGCTAAAAGCTCGCTTTGGAATCCAGAATACAGTAGGGAAAGAAAGCAGTGTGAAACTTATAGATGAATTTGGAAGGAAAGAATGTGCTTTCCTACATTGGTTTGACTATATGTTTTTCATACTAGAAGTGTTGTTTTCCATACTATAGTCCTGAGATCCAAACAAACCCTTAAAGAACATTATATGAACCACATAATTTTTCATCAAAAAGAACACAAAATGACGGTCGAAAGATGAAAATCATAAACACATTCCTGGGCAGAGTGAACATTAAAAATGTTATAAACTCCAAAGAGTAAATAGATTGTCTTATTGTATCACCAGACACTAGGCTTGGACTCGGGTCGGGCCACCCGGCCCGTGGACCGGCCCGGCCCGCTACTGTGCGGGACCGGGACCGGCCCGGTTCTCGGGTCCGGGTCCGGGTCCGGGTCGGGCCTAGGCCCGGGGGGTAGGGCGGGCCCGGGCTCGGGTCTCAATTTTGGTGAACCGGCCGGGTCAGGTCCGGGCCCGGGCCAAATTGATTTTTTTTTATTTTTTTCATTTTTGGGGTTCCACTCGGGTTGGGCTTGATGGGTAGGATGGGTTTGGGGGGGGGGGGGGGGGGGTTAGGAAAGCAAAAAAAAAAAAAAATCCAAACCGGAGGCCCGGCCCGGACCCGGTGGCTACCCGGGCCGGTCCCGGGTCCAGGCCTGACCCGGACCCGGCCCGGACCCGAGTCCACCCCTACTAGACACCAGTCAAAGTTTAAAAGAAGCTTTCTATGGCGCTACACAAGAAACACATTTAAATGATATAGGGGGTGTTTGGCAATTGGTTGTTAGCTCTTGGTTGTTGGTTGATTCTGTTGGCTGTTCTTATCGGTGGATAGCAGATTCTGTTGGCTGTTCTTATCGGTGGATAGTATTAGTGGTTTGTAAAATGATATTTGGTTAAATGACTGTTTACACTTGGCTGATAACTTGATAAATGACTTTTAAGATATCATGATTACTAATTAATTTTATATATGTATCCTACATTTCTTAAATAATCTTATCAGTATATCTAGTTAAACCATTTTATTTTCTAAAATGTAAAATCCACTAACGCAAGTAATAATTTTTTAATTATTTTACAATCATAGTGAATGCAACACTTGCACGGAAAATAAATCTTAGGTTAATTGATGATACAATTTCAAGTCCATCAATTCCAACTTTGGAATAAAATCCACTAAAATGGAAGAAATAGAATTTTTGAAAAATCAAATTGAACTAATCACACCCGCAGTTGCAATTTGGGAATGTAAGAGTCAAGAGATCCTCAAAATAGGTAGGCAATTTGACAAAGAAGAATTAAAAGTATATAATCAAGAATGATGATGATGATGATGATGAACATTAGGATTTGGTTAGACAGTGGCTCCAGAATAACAATCCGGAGAAAACGGGAACCCAGATCAAACTCCAATATGCTTCAATGGTAGAACTGGTTATAGTTATATGCGCATTGCAAATCAATCATTTGGTGTGGCTGCATGGGTAAAATAAGAAAAATGAGAAATAAACCGAGCGACGGGTTCCTAAATGCAAAGGTTTGAAGCGTTTTTTGTTTTGGCTTTTTGATTCAAATCAGTCAAAAAATGATTGATAGACTCTTAATCAAACACCCACATGGTCGTAGACCAATTAGACACACGAAACTAGAGTCAATTTGGTACCGAAAGAATTTGGTCAACTTAGTCAAACCAATGTAAGAAGGTAGCCCAAAAACATGCAAAGCGTGCGTTTGCTTTTGAGATGTCTCATTTGGTGATAATAGAGAAAATATCAAATAGTAAAATTTGATATTGTTTGAAAATGAAAATGATTTCAGAAAGTAGAATTTAGAACGTATGCGAAAAGGGCAAATTTTGGGGTATCCGGATGAAGTATTGCAATAAAAACTGAATTACATTTTTCTGTCTTTCACTTGCTTTCAGCTTTCACTACCTTAAAAACACTACTTTTTAGTTTTTAATGCAATCACAGAAGTGCATTTCAGTGGGAAACTAGTACTTGATAAAAACTTAACTGATGAGTGATAAAAGTGGGGTTTCGAAAGGCCAAACGGGCACTAGAAAAAGTCTACACAGTAAACTCGAAATGTGTATACCTCAATTTTTGTAAATGTAATAAACAAGAGTAATGTACTGCACCTGTGAAGAACAAAAGTAAGGTTATCAAATTCATACTAAAAGATTACAATGTAACTTTCCTATCGACTAAAACACCATCATGGCCCAGAAGTAGAAGCCAGTTTGGAATCTGGACTTATCAGCAAACGGACCTTGAGAGAGCAAGACCCACAGGGCAAAACAACTGATACTGGTAAATCTTTGGATGCTTCTACTGTGAAGATTTCCCTTCCATCCTTCTTCACCAATGGATATCCCATATTTGCCAAATCCAAAGAATCAATCACATAAAAGTCACCACATCTACAAGGGTAAGAGAGCTCTATAACATCATCATCACCACCACACACTTCCATTTGGAGATCATCAAACCCCAAATCTTCAGCGGTTGATGCATCTTGTCTCAGAGAACGCAATTCGTGATCATAAACGGCGCGTGATCTGTGGTCGCTGAGGACTTCCCATGCCTTTTGTATCTCTAAGAATGTTTCCTTAGTCTTGTCATGCTTGGAAGAGGAGAATGCATTTGATGTGTAGTTATTGTCATGTAGTTTGTCTGGATGGAAGCTGAGGATGGCAGATCGATAAACTGTTCGAATATGATCATAGTTTGCATCCTCCCTAACACCCAAGACGTCATAGTGGGATTTATGAATGGAGTTATTCAATATCATGTTTCAACCGCACACCTATGTAAATTTATGAATAAATAAATAAAGTAGTCCATGAAAAAAGGTCGGAATGGGGAAAACATAAAAGGAAGGTAACCTTAGACTAGTTTGAGATAAACAAAAATAAACATTACATTTTATATTTAAACTGATGGACGTAGAACCTATGTTCGTATTCTTCTTTGTATTTAATGGAACCATGATTTGGAGAACATGAAGAAATATCATTGCACATATACCACTTGCAGTTGAAACTAAAATAGTTAATCCTAAGATCTAGGGCCCATTTGGTAGCATTGATCGACTTATTCTGCTTATCAGTAAAATGAGCAGATGCAAGCTTTTCCTTTCAAAAAATTCATCAAACCATGTCTTGGAGTAAGTCTGCGAGATGCAGTAAATTTGACCAGATTGATAGAATATTAGTGGAAAATTCACCTTTAGTGTGGGTTAAAATTGCCCTTTAATGTCATTCTTGTACCCGACATTGTATTCGTACTTATTAAAATTGAGGATTTCCGTGACAGGTTTCAGAGCCATTACCAAGTGTTAGACTTTTTATTAATGGACAGGTCAGAACCCTTACTAATAACAATTCATGTAAGTTATATTAGAACCGTACTGCTACTAAAAGTATTACATGTCAGGTTGTTATGACCCATTATGGAAAGTATACGACGTCGGTTTCATTTGAACAGTTAATAAATTCATTCTGTTTGGTATTAAATCTAACCCATGTAGATTTACATCATGCATGTTATGTCCATGTGTCCATTGACCAGAAATTTAGAACACTCATGGTTAAAAAATAAATAAATAAGTGAATGCATAGTCCCTATCTTTGTTCTTTTTGTATCCTATTTTTTTATGTATTCACCATATTACTTCGAATGGTAATTACTCATAAGCACATATCAGTACTCCAGAATCTTATATATAACACATATTTTTGAGAAATTAATTATCCTAACATTCCCCAAGTGACTGGTGGAATTAGTTCTTTCAGCTATTTTCAACAAAACAGTTGAGGAATTGCCAATTTCAACAATAGCAGTTTGGGAGCTAGCAAAACTATATCGGTTATCTACACATAAGTAATTTCTTATGATCATTTTTACTGAGTAGCTTTTACAAACATTTGATAGACATTATAAAACTAAAACCTAAGAATACAATGTTTCACGTTCTGTTTAAAACTCGTAGAAATTACACAAACCAAACAATTATTCAAAACTAGAGAAAACTTTGTACAAAATAAAAAATGACATGTAATAGAATAATAGATTATTAAATATATAATATGTAAAATAATCATACCTGAACAGGATGGAAAAGCCTTCAAAGGAGAAAAGAGTTGGAACACCGACTGAGTTGATGTGGACCGTCGAGCAGTAATGAAGGAGAGGCCGAGCAGAAAGGCGGAGCGTGAAGGAGCGGAAAGGCGGAGCGTGGAGGAGCGGAAAGGCGGAGCCAGTGGCAGAACCAACTCCGAGATCTTGGAGGGACACATCAGCACATAAATCATTACTATATCATCAATATAGTACGTAGTAATAAACAAAATAATAAATTTTAAATAAAACAGCAAACTAAAGAATACTTTAATTTTGATTAGCAACTGATACGTCAAATGAACGAGAACAACCGGAAGGTGGTAATCTAAGAACACCCTATGCTCAGCCCTTTACTACCTTCAGGAATCTGTGTATAAAATCTTTTCAAAGGAATTCTTTGTCAAATAGTCTAGAAATTGAAGTCTAGAATTATAGTAATATGAGTATAATTGTAAAAATAGCATTGTAAAAAACGAAATCAACAAACCCACAATTACAATACAATTAACAGTTTATTAAATAAGAATAATACAGAGAAATAAATAAGCTCCACAATAGACTTGTGCAAAAAAATTAATAATTTATAAAATTGAAATAATAATGAATCAAGTCCACAATAAACTTGCACACAAAATTAATACTTTTGATACACAATAAAATGAAAAACTTACACAAAATAGAAAAGTGAAGGTCGCCGGGTGACCAAGCCTCCGGCAAGGCCGCAAGACAGCCAGGTGGGCAGGGCAGCGTCACTCCTCCTCACTCTTAGTTGACGCAATGGCGTTGCTGGCTAACCTGGCTTGCTGTGTTGCTGAATTGCTGGAGTTCTGCGCAGAAGGGGATGAATCTGTCGATCGGGGGCATTTGGGCGAATGGGCCGTTCTTAATAAAAGTTTAAACCTGAAAATAGGCTTGAGTGGCGGGCTGCAGAAGTGGGCTCACAGGCCCCCAACCTCTATTGTAGTTCCGCCGCTGGCGCGGAATGTGGAGCCGTGGAGGAGCGGCGGTGTCGTGACTCGTGTGCGTAGAGGGGCGGAAAGGTTGAGCGCTCTATGATTTAGTTTAGGGAATATTGAATTGATTCGATCGAATGGAACCTTACCAAATAGAACTAAACCCAGCTTGGTAGTATTTCTTTAAAATTGTATTAAAGAAATTGAATAAAATCCTAGAATGTATTATGTTATTAAAAAGGGAAACCTATCAAATAGGTCCTCAAACTTTCATAAAAAAGTCAATTAAGTCCTTCTAGAGGAGATTTGGGGTGGTTCCCGGTGAAATTTTCTGATGAAATTTTTTGAGCATCTTATTCATCAAGTCTAGCTTACTCATACCAAATTTAAGCTAAAAATTTAATCGGGAGCGCATTCAAATTAATTCGAGAACGCAAAAATGCGCAGTTATCTTCAAGAATTAATTTGAATGTGTTCCCGATTGAATTTTTAGCTGAAATTTGGTATGAGTAAACTAGACTTGGTGACTAAGATGCTCAAAAAATTTCATCAAAAATTTCCACCGGGAACTGCCCCAAATCGCGACGGCCGGACAGAACCTCCTATAGAAGGACTTAATTAACTTTTTTATGAAAGTTCGAGGATCTATTTGACAGTTTTCCTTATTAAAAACAACAAATCCAAACCAACTCAAATTGAACCAAATCAAAAAATCGTATGACTTTTGTTTGGTAATAAAAATTTCAAACTGAACCTAATTAAAAAAATGATATGTCCAAATCCTAATTAGTGGCGATTGTAATTACTGTAGTATCTTTACTCCGCATTACTTCTTACGTCCCTAATAAAACTCTAATAGTACAAACGGTACGGGGATTAAGTCTTGTTTATCCATACCAAATTTTAGCTCAAAATTAGATCGGGAAGGCCTTCGATTTTTTGAAGTTGACTGCACGTACAAAATGAATATTGTACAATACATATTCAAATAAGAATGGGTTAGAAACTTGGAATGAAAGTAAAATGAAAGAATAAAATATGATCGTGATAAATTGAGTTGTTTTTAAATGCAATATGACCATTTTTTTTACTTTTTTTTAGAGAATTCGTACAAAGAAGTTGAGGAAGTTCAAATCTAAAAAATTCCTATCTTGTAATGGTAATCTGGAAAGTGAAGTGAAAAGATTGGAATATAGAATATCGGGCCAGGATATTTGGAATTGTGGCGTTTTAATTAATACTTTTTCAGTCTTATTCGTGCGTGTCCTCCAGATATTTTATGATTTCCTGATTGAAATTATAGGAGGTAAACTGAAAATTGCCGCAATATCAAACGCAGACAATGGAGCGAACCCGAGTATGAAAGTCAGAATCTTTTGATGAAGAGCGTATGTGATTTCGGTGGTGAGGGATTGAGATTGGAGGGTTTGAATAAATCTTGAGAAGATGAATGCGGTGGGGAGGATAGGCAGCTATATTACAAGAAGCGTATACACTGTCTCTACACCCTTCCACCCGTTCGGTGGTGCTGTAGATATAATTGTGGTGGAGCAACCTGATGGGAGTTTCAAATCCTCTCCTTGGTATGTCCGTTTTGGGAAATTTCAGGGGGTTCTGAAGGCGAAAGAGAAGCTGGTTAAAATATGTGTCAATGGTGTGGAAATGGGTTTCCATATGTATCTTGAAAATGATGGCCAAGCCTGTTTTCTGAGGGAGGTGATTGGAGATGAGGCATCTTGTGGAGGTGGTGGTGATGATGACACAACAAATGTGCTGTCCAATAATAATACTAGGCTGTCTGTGAAGTCCAAAAGCTGTGATTTTGTTGGTATGGAATCGATTTCAGCTGCCAAGATTGGTATGGGGGATGGTAATGTCGTGGTTAGGGCAAAGCCACACCGGTCTGGGATTTTGGGATATGTTTTCGGCAGGAAAGCAACCAAAGAAGGCGGAGACAAAAAGGGTAGTGATGCTAGGAATGATGACAAATCTTTGGAGCATTCTGCAGAGATTGCTTCTGATCTTTTAGAGGTAAAATGGTCTACCAATCTAGATTCCCCCAAAATCCTTAAAGATAGTCATAATAATGCACCAGAGGAAAGTAGTGATTTGAAAGGTGACTCGAAAAATGACGATGGTGATGATAAGAGTGCTTCCATTGGTGATAAAAGTGCAGATAGTTCACTCTCTAGCCCGCAGTGTATTGGGGACATAAATTCTAATATTAATTTAATGTCGTGCACATACTCCCATGATCAAGAGAACCCTGAAGCTGAAGTGAGTTCAATTGTTGAAGTAGAATCTCAGACCATCTTTTCCATCTCAAGTATCAGTAGTGCAACATGCAAAGCACATAGTACAAAAGATGGCAAACGTAGCCCATGTCGGAGTCCACCTGAAGCTAATCCTGTTTTTTCCTTCGAAAGTTCTGTTACGTCAGTGAGCTCATCAGAGGAGGAGGATCAGCTTCTCTTTGGCGACCTTGATGATGGAAGTGTCAACAAGGAGAAGACAAACAGGTTGCACGATCCTGAAGAAGTGGTTGAATCTCATGTTTCACTCTATGACATTAGTTCTTCTTCAAACAAATATGATGAAGACAATAAACCGTTTGTTTCTTATAGAAGCAGCAAGTTGACGAGTGCCGTTAGCAATGCTGACATTCCTGTAAAGCATGATAAGGCTCAACGAATGGCCATATCTTTACCCAATATGTGGCCTCGTCATGATAACCAATTTTCCAGCCATGTTTCTTGTGAGATATTATCACAACACATCACTGAAGATCCTTCAATTTGTCAAGAACTGAATGATAGGCTGACTGTTCCAGTAACTGGTATCTTTATGCTGTGATTACATTTTATTGATCTATGGTTTTAAGTCTCTCACTATTCTCATTTAGTTGTAACAATAATCTTCTCACGGAATCTAAGAATTGAATTCTAGGCGTAGTGTATAACATAGAAAAGGTGAGGAATATAGTAGAGTTGTAAAGGGTAGATGAAGAGTTAGAAAAAGCAGGAAAGTGAAGATGAAAAAGCAAGGATATTTATGAGTTTTAATATTGTGGGAGTTGCCAAAAATATAAAGTGGAACAACTAATAATAAATTTCCATAAAAGTGAAGTGAAGCATCTAAAAGTGAACAGAGGAGTATATACTTCGTATATGCATACTACACTGGACAGGCGTTTCATTCTGGTAGGATTAAGAAATCAAGACTAGTCAATTTTGCCAACAGATGAAACTACTTTCGGGGGAAATTTGTCTCTACCAATTGATAGCTGTGGTGAAAGCGAGGTGATGGATTTGCCACAGCCTTCTACGGATGACGACAATGTAAAAACTGGTGCTGGAAGTCTTACCAAAGGTACTGGTGGCATAAGCACAGAAGAGGATTTGATTAAGGTTACTAAGAAGATAAAAAGGGCATTCACTCCAACATCTGAACAGATCGCCTCTTTGAACCTTAAGGAGGGGAAAAATGAAGTTATCTTCACATTCTCAACTCCAATGCTTGGGGAGCAGAAGGTAGTTTTGGGTCTAGTAGTGTCAAAACCAACACATATTTTTTCCTGCCTAGGCCCACTTGATTCCACTATTATGATTGACTAGGTCTTATTTGCTGCCTACCTGGTGCCTAGTTCTTTTTACAACATTGCTAATAATTATTATAGTTTATGCTTTTTAATTGTATCTTTCATATGGTTTCTGTGTATCTTTAAATCAATGTTTTGTTTTTTCGAGTGTCTATACATAAGCAAGAACATGCCAGGTTAGAAATATTAAATATATGTATGCATGCATTTTACAGGTGGATGCTCAGATTTATCTGTGGAAATGGGACATGCGTATTGTGATATCTGATGTTGATGGGACGATAACAAGGTAATATATATCCCTTTTTCTCCCTTTTCCAATTCAAATGGATAATTGTTGTTCTTGGGAACTGATAATGGTGGCATACCCTGCTGGTGATTGATATAACTGCTCTTGCATACTTGCAATTGGCTTAACGCCTTAACCAGAATTTCTTGTTTTGGACTTCAGAGGCTTTTTATTAAATTAACCTAACAAAAAGGATATATGGTTAGATTGGTTTTCAGTTTTATACATTTCTTTGTCAGTACTTCTTTTCCTTATATTGGTTAAGGTTAATCACATAGTTATATTGTTCTTTCCTGGCTGGTAGAACAATTCCAGGCACCTGAAGATGCCTTTAGAGACCACATCTGTTTCATAGTCAGCTTATCCAGTTTCACAACTTTAATTAGAAGTTGGAAGCTACAGTTTGTCATTTTGTTGCCTATCAATAAACAAACAGACTAGTTTTTTGACAAGTTGGAATTCGGAAACATAAAAATGAAAAAGGTATTTCATGTTAAAGGATCTGATTTCTAAATTGAACAACAAAAATGGAAAGATAAAGCTTTCCAAGCTAGCTTAAGATTTTAAAAAATATCAAAAGAGGTATCTTTATCCATAATAAGTGCAAAACGTTTATGGCATTTTGTAATCTTTTAGCAAATACAAAAAACGCAGACATGAATTTCTCTCGTGATACCCGGCTTCACTAAAGAAATACCGTAAAAACTAATATTTGTCGATTGTCCAAGCGTATATATATCTCTGATTAATGGTTTTAAGAAGTTCGTCCAAAGAAGAAACTTAATATAAACCCTTCTAAGTTTTATACTAGTTTTTGTTCTCTTTTTCCTCTCTATAAGCTTCTGGAATTTTGTCATCACAAAATGTCAAATCATAAAGACATTGCTTGGTGAAATGCTTGTGCAGCCTGACTTATTTTTGAACTTATTCCTCTGTAATAGTGAAATGTTAAAGCTGAGCCAAAACTAGATACGAGGCAAAAAAACATATTTTCTCTAGGAGCTACAAATCATAATGCCAAATATGTTGGATTAGGCAGCATAATTTTAGACTTTGTGTCAATTTAGACATTCATGCAAAAACTGTGGCAAAGTTATGCATAATGGCCTTCATGTTGGAACCTTCAACCTTCTAAAGAAAGAATTATGTGAACTACAAAGCTGATAATTCTTCAAGAATATAAGGTTTGGATAAACAAACACCAACTTTTAGCAATTAGGTTAAGGTGGAATGATATATTAATTAATCCATT